TAAAAGAAAAAAAGTTTCTGCTGATCAGGCAACTCAGCTGGGATCATCAGAGCCTTTTGAAAGCATTTTTTAACAACCTCTTGGCAGAAGAGGTTGTAGAAAAAATGGTTTTAAAAGTAAAAAAAAAAATGGCCACGCCCACCCAGTCACATTACCCCCCCCACCAAGCCACGCCCACAGAACCGGTAGTAGCATTTTACCACCGGATTAGAGACCCTACTTTGCATGGAATAGTGTAAGAGCATGTTTAGAGTGAGCCTGGGCTTTGGTTGCTCTTAGGGCATTCTGGCCGAAGTGAGCTCAAAGTGACTGCTAAGGTTAAGATAACAGATTAACAGAGTTGGAAAGGACCTTGTCGGTCATCTATTCCAACCCCCCGCCCAAGCAGGAGACCCTACACCATTTCTGACAAATGGCAGTCCAATCTCTTCTTGAAAGTCTCAAGTGATGAAGCTCCCACAACTTCCGAAGGCAAGCTGTTCCACTGGTTGATTGTTCTCACTGTCAGAAAATTTCTCCTTATTTCCAGGTTAAATGTCTCCCTGTTCAGTTTCCATCCATTATTCCTTGTCTGGCCTTCAGGTGCTTTAGAAAATAGCTTGACCCCTTCCTCTCTGTGGCAGCCCCTCAAATATTGGAAGACTGCTATCATGTCTCTCCTGGTCTTTCTCTTCACTAGATTAGCCATGCTCAGTTCCTATAATCGTTCTTCATATGTTTTAGTCTCCAGTCCCCTAATTGTCCTGGTTGCTGTTCTCTGCACTTTTTCTAGAGTTTCAACATGTTTTTTATAGGGTTGTGGCTGAAAGTACTGGATGCAGTACTCTAGATGTGGTCTTACTAAGGCTTTATAGAATGGCATTATATATACATAGAGTGGTATAGAGTGGTTCTTAATACGAGCAGAGGCAGCTCCATGTGCTGCTGGTAAAGGAAGTCTGCTATCTTCATCCACACTTTTTCTGTTTTACTAAAAAGTGTTAGATAGAAGCATTAGGTAACAATGGCTCCAAGAATCAATTTCACAATTTGAAAACCAAAAAAATGAAAACTACAGAAGTTGATGTCTTCAGAGACATTCCCATGGTATTTTAGACTATTCGTTTTTAGAAAAGTAGACCATAATCCAGTGGTGGGTTTCACTTACCTTTGCTACCAGTTCACTCGTGCACGCATGCTATCTTCACTCATGGGCACGCCACTTCTGTGCATGTGCAAAAGCTTCTCCGCATGCACAGAGCATATTTGATGATGTCTGGGTAGGTGGGTGGAGCCTCCCGCCACCGCTGCTACTGATTCGCCCAAACTGGGGCGAACTGGTAGCAAGTCACCACTGCCATAATCCCTACCCGTATTTCTATAGATCTATTATATTTGTAGAGAAATGTTCACTAGTTGTAAACCTTAGACATTTGATTTCATTGATAAAAATGCAGTTATCACTTTTCTATCAGCATCATGCAAAACCAGAAAGCAATTAAAGCAGCAAATGTGATGGTAAAAGGAGAATCAATAACATAAATGTGTAGCAACTTCAAGAGTAATCAATTTGAAGGGGGCAGAAGCTTTGTTTATATACCAAAGAAACCCAAAAAACCCTCCAATTAGTCTCGAAGGTCCTATTAGATTCCACATTGATTTAATTGCCTAGAGTAAAATATCACTTCCTCCCCATTTCCAAGATATGTCAAACACCATGGTATTTTTTTAGAAAGCAGGACAAATATGATAAAATATTATTAAAATGTTATTTTTCACAAATCAGTTGGATAGCATTGAGTGCCTAGGTCCTCCTTGTTCAACTTGCCCTGGTCTTCTGGTGGCCTTAATAAAGGCCCCCAAATAGTGAAGAGAACTCAAAATCCTGTTTAAAGAACTGCAGGAAAAACAACCTAAGACAACGTGTTCTTACTACTGGGCAGGTGTCTCCACTCAGTGATGACTGCTGCTGCCCAGTGAGGTGAATCACTTCCAAGACATTGCTTTAGTTGGTGTAGCAACTGGTGGGTGTGCTGTTGTTGTTGTTGTTGTTATCGGCGGCCTTGGAGTCTGTCTCAGAGCCAGGGAATGCTCCCCTCCCAGCTGGGTTGCTAATATTGGACTCCTGACTTGATCTGCCAGGAACTGCTGCCAGGGTATCCTCCTATGAGTAAGAAGACATCATAGCTTCCATCCCATCCCAGGCAAATATAGAAGGGCTGGATAAACCAGCAAAGAGTTGCTTTGCTTTGATGAAGTTTCATGCGAAGCCCTCTTTTAAGGCAGCTTTGCCAGCCTGCTTTCTAAATAGCACCACATATGGGCAGCTTCACTTCCTTTTGTTGGATGAGATGGACTTCTCTGTAAAGAAGTTTATAAAAGTTTATAAACCCCCACAGTTTATAAAAGCCAATTGGACCACCTTGCACTACCCTAAAAGTAACTACTGATCTTCCTTGCTTCCTTCTTCACAGCCAGATAAGAATCCTAAAAAAAAAAAAAAAAAAAAAGTTCCCAAGAAGAAACTTGTCACTGATCCTCCAAATATTTTCTACATTCCCAGGTAAACAGACCTGAGCTAGCTAGAATAGGAGTTCAAGTTTTTTCCCAGCAATGCAACAATGCCGTTAAACATTCAGTGAAAAAGATACCTCTGGCCAACCTTTATTCATCTAATGTGAAATGTTTAATTTGAATCATTCCATCTTTGGTTCAGTTGCCATGATTTAATCTTTTTGGTCTGGATGACTGAGTCTTCATTTACATGTCGAATCATTTAAGTATAAAATCAGGTGGTTTGCTGTAGAGTTAGTATTAGTGGAATAAGGTCAGATTTGATTAGAAGCCCCTGCCTTAAAGTGCTTACAGTCCAAAATGCAACAGAGAGGTCAACAGCAGAGCGGAGACTAAGGCAAAGGCAATAGAAAGAACTTTAATTCAATTCTGTTCTTAGATAGGCATGTTTAAGCTGATGGTTCCATGCAGTAATAAATTAAAGGAATAATACTATATTGCTTTAAAAAAAACCCTCAACAGTTTCAATATCTTCAAATGACTCTAATAAATGCTTACATTACATCCCTTGTTTAGAATGATTCTTGCCCGCCCTCTGTGGCTGACCCTTTTATTAATCGTTTCCTTTCATTTAAGAGAGCTTCTGTTTGAGCAAGTAAAATTTATCTAATGATTGCCTATTTAAGTACATAGTTACTGCATTCCTAAAATGCCTCCCAGTTAGTCCTGTCTCATTCCTTGCAAAAGTGTGCTTTGAATGCCAAGAATTTTGCAACTAAAGTAATTGCGCATTAGTTCTATTTAATTTTTGTTGTTGCAGGATTACTATTCAAAAGAAAACATAATAGGGAGGGATGAACATTTACTATCAAAATAGACCTAGAGGGCCAGATTCTTAGCATTTCCAGCCAGACCTTTCTGTTTCTAGATTTTGCTCTGATTTCTTTCCATTCCTGGAGGCCATCTTGTTGAGCAATTAATACCTTGAGATTGCAATTGGTCATACACTTCTGTGTGCAAACATAGCTTTCTTGTTTATCTAGCTAAATCTCTGGAGAAAGCAGCTTTGAGAATGGAATGTGACTCTCTTCCCTCAGAGGCATTTAAATTACTTTTCTTCCATTCCTCAGCGCTTATATACCCGTTTGCTGACTCTGTAAACTGCTTAGAGAGGACTCTGACTCTGAGAAGCACTCTGAAGCGGTATATAAGTCTAAGTGATATCACTATTGCTTTGTGGGAGATTTGCAACCAAGTGCAAGCAATCCATGCGCATGGACAACATTGCTGAAATGGTAGAAAGTTGGAGAATGTCTCTACTTTTCTGTAATAAAAATTGCCTGAGGTGGTAGATTACAGACTGTCTGTTTGTCAGAGGGTTGTTTTGCAATGTTGCAGGATGTGAAGCAGGGGTGAAAGCCAGCAGGTTCTGACAGGTTCTGGAGAACCGGTAGCGGAAATTTTGAGCAGTTCGGAGAACTGGTAGCGGAAAGTTTGAGTAGTTTGGAGAACCAGCAAATACCACCTCTGGCTGGCCCCAGAGTGGGGTGGGAATGGAGATTTTGCAATATCCTTCCCCCAGGAGTGGGGTGGGAATGGGGATTTTGCAGTATCCTCCTGGAGTGGGGTGGGAATGGAGATTTTGCAGTATCCTTCCCCTGCCACACCCACCAAGCCACACCATGCCCACCAAGCCACGCCCACAGAACTGGTAGTAAAAATATTTGGGTTTCACCACTGATGTGAAGGGAGGGATTCTTTCTTTCCCCCTTTTTTTAACACATGGGGGAGTTAGGGCTTGCTGGCTGGGGAATTCTGGGAGCTGAAGTCCACTCATCTTAAAGTTGCCAAGGTTGAGAAACACTGCTCTGGATTCAGCAGGGAATGGAAGCTGGCACAATCCATATAAAGATCCAAATGTATTTCTTTTCTAGCAGGTGTCTCTGGAGGACAGCCCCAAATTGGTGCTTAAATTTACAGCCACAAAGGGAATTCAGAGATTTGGCACGTTCTGTGCAAAGAACTGCTGGGTTAAGGATGACATTTCCATCCCTTTTTACCACGAATCCTCAGACTATTGACCTTCAAATGTTGAACTTTGAAAAAGGATTGGGGAGGGGTTTTTGTGACACCATCTATTGTGTGCGCGCGGCGATGGTAGGAACAGCAACGTGAATTATAGTCATGCCATGACAACAACACTGGAGAGGATTAAGAGAAAGTGAGTGAAAGATGACTCAAAGTGACAGGTGATTGACTGTGGACTTTTAGCTCAGGCTCCTGTCTCCTAATTCCTTCCAACGTCTCCGAGGAAGTTCTAGTAAAGGTGGTGGCATGAACTCCAGGTAACAAAAATTATGCTGGCTTTCAATGGGTTCGGTGCCAACAGGGCATTTAATGTTATCTGAAGCCTGAGTCTCGCCTTCCTGCCAGAGGACTCCTGTTTGTGAGTTTTCTAAAGCTATAAATGGAAACTCTTGCTGGGAAGAAATTATCACCCAGGCATTCTGATCCAGTCCAGTCTCACCACTCGAGTGTGGGCAGTCATGGTTTCTAACACCTAGCCAGATAAGCTCCTTCTTTTTGGGATTTAAATCTTCCTCTTGCTGGGAAATGGAGATAGAAAAATGTAAAAGAGTCTCTTCAGCAAAAGACATGTTATCCCAAGAGAAGCTGAAGGTAGGATGCAATTTTCCTTAGCGTTATTATGCAATATTAAGATACTAGAGGCTGGGAGGAAAAGTTGGTTACTATTTTTATACTTCCTCCAGTGACCTTAATGATTAACAGGTTCAGCCATGGGGTGTTGAAATTAATTATGCTATAATTAGCATAATTATAATTTCAGCAGGAATTAAGGAACTTCATAATCGATATTTTCCTGGCTATGAATTTTTCAGATGATAAATCCTGGATCTGCTGATGCTCGGTGTGTAGTGTTGTTTAAAAATAAAACAATTCTATAATTTACTAAATCTTATTGTATGCTCGGTGTTGTACAAATGGGTATGAGAAAGAGAATCATGGAAGAAGCAGCCTACAAAACGTCCTGTTTCATTTTGTTTATGCTACTTCCTGATTACAACTTCAGTGAGAAAGATAGAATTTGTTTGGGACGATTGTTGTTATTCTCAGGGGCATAGAGGCTCCATGTTATTCCTGACACTGGAAATTGATAAGCTGTATGAGAGAGAGAGAGAGAGAGAGGGAGGGAGAGAGGGAGGGAGGGAGGGAGGGGAAAAAACTTTGCAGTCACTCATATTGAATGACAAATTAGAAATAGTATCACATTCTTAAATAAGAATGTCATAATAATAAGAGCACTAGAGTTATCGGTTTTCTGTTATAAACAGAACTGTCTGCCTCGATGTCTGGGCTGCAAAACTCCAGACAATGCTAGATGGTAGCAGATGTCAAAAAAAAAAAAAAAAACTCTACTGCCACCTACTGGTTGCTCAGGTTTTTGCTGATATAGTAATCCAGCCACATGACCACGGAGATGTCTTTGGACAGCGCTGGCTCTTCAGCTTTGAAACGGAGCTGAGCACTGCCCCCTAGAGTCGGGAACGACTAACACATATGTGGGAGGGGAACCTTTACCTTTTTATGGTAATCCTGGGCTGCTCTTTTTAGAATTTATATGTTGGCAAAACTTTGTTTCTATTCCAATACTTTTAATAGACTCCAACAATTTAAATATTGGAGAAAATATGAAAACTGAAGTGGGCCACTTTACATCTGTTCCTCATATATTGAAAACTTTCTCCTCAACTGTTAAATGTTGCAGTTGTAACTTTGAACGGTCTCTAAATGAATATTGTAAGTTGAGGACTATCTGTAGTGTATTTTACCTAGTGGTGGGGCCAGCCTTTAATGTGTTAGAATGAAAATAAGGGAAATGCACATGTGAACCAGCTTTTAAGAACTTTCCTTGCAGCTGTCTGCCACCTTGTCTGCGGAAGTCACTCTGTTCTTTTCACAGGTTGAACATTTTAAGTTTCTACTTGAAACGATGCAAATAGATTCCTAGCATTATAAGCATCTGAATCTCCATTCTGCCCAGCTTAATATATGTGATCATGTAGGCCGAGATCATTTTAAGAAACAAATAATAATGCCCGCATGATGTTAGACTAAGATTACTGAGCATGTTAGTGATAATTGGGCATTGGGTACAGGCATGGTTCCTTTCAAAATTCAACCAAGGACAGCAGATAAACATGTTGCTCTCTTGGCTAAAAGAGAAGGCATTTTCCCCCCACCCATACCCTGCCCCCAATTCCACAAATAGAAAGCATTATAACTGGCAGTTGATTTTTTCTTTCTATTTCAGCAGAAGGACAGTGACCTTAACAACACCTGACAGGGGAAGTCTACCTTACAGGATGTAGGACTGATCACGATTGCCTGAAATTGCAATCGTGACAACATCAGCGACTCTGACTGAACTGAGAGACCGAATCCCTTGTCCTCAGAGTTGCAGAGTAGCAATTTCAGGCAATCGTGATCAATCCTACATCCTGTAAGATAGACTTCCTCTGTCAGGTGTTCTTAAGGACACTGTCCTACTGCTGAAATAGAAAGATTCAGTTGCCAGTGAGAGTGTTTTCTATTTGTGGAATTAGGGGCAGTTGCAACCCTTTCATGAAATGTGTCTTTTTCTGATGAGATTCTATCATCACTACCATACACTCTAGCCTTTCCTAAACATAAAACTACTGGTTCAGTTTTTCCCCGTGATATTAGAGAATTTCAAAAGTTCGTATTGATCACTAAAACCCAAAGACTACAAAACTGACATATTTTGAGATGTGTATTCTCAACAGCCTTTGGAAACTGTTATCTTATTTATTAATTATTTAGGAATTCTTGATACCCAATGTAGCAAGTTATCTTTTTTTCCAGGGGTGGAGTGGAAGGTGGAGTACAAATTACTATTCACAAATGGATTATATTGCATGTCTGACCTTTCTGTACTAAATCAGGATTCAGGACAATTGCCAGAAATTAGCATTCGAAACACACTAGCAGTTGACATTTTTGAACAAACAAGAAGAGTTGTGCACCGTGAATGTTCATTCTGAATATTAATTCAAAGAGTCCTTTATCTGTTCTAACGACTGGTTCTCTTTGTCAATCCTGACGCATCTCTCCCTCCAGGGAAATTGTGATATTTTAATCTCTTTTGGCTAATTAGGAACTCATCTGTGGTGGGCAGCTTCTGCTGTCGTAACTCCCTAATGGCTGATGGTGTGAGTCAGTCATGGGTTGCTACTGGTTCGTCCCAGATCAGGCGAATCGGTAGCAGCGGTGGCGGGAGGCTCTGTCCACCTGCCTGGACATCTGTGTGCATTGCGCGCATGAGCACACGGGCGCCTACGAGCAAACCGGTAGTGACGGGATTTGAATCCCACTACCGGTGTGAGTTGTCTTAAGAGACAGCAAACACCATTCTCCATTTGGGTTTTCTCCAGTAGAAATGCTATGATCTTATCTTTGTCTCTTCACTTGACATTTAGGCTCCCTCCAGGTCTCTCTGCTCAACAGAGGTCAGGGGAAAAAGAGCACACCCAGATATTTAACCAGTGGTTTCTTCTACAGGTAGACCTTGACTTACTACCACAATTAAGCTTAACATTTCTGTTGCTAAGTGAGGCAATTGTTAAGTGAGGTTTGCCCCATTTTACGACCTTTCTTGCCGCAGTGAATCACTGCCGTTGTTGAGTTAGTAATGTGGTTGTTAATGCATCTGGTTTCCCCACTGACTTTGCTTATCAGAAGGTCGCAAAAGGTGATCACATGACCCCAGGACACTGCAACTGTGATAAATACAGTTGCCAAGCATCCGAATTTTAATCACGTGACCATGAGGATGCTGCAATAATCATAAGTGTGAAAAATGGCCATAAGTCACTTTTTTCAGTGCCGTTGTAACTTCAAACAGTCACTAAATAAACAATTGTAAGTTGAGGACTACTTGTATATTTGTTGCCAAACGAGTGCTTCCCATTCAAATTTCCCTTTTGATACTAAATAAACTTTGGGTCCCGACTGTAAGTGCTGGGTCAATAATTTCCAGGTTTGAAAGTTTTGCAACTGAACTTTTTCAGTAGATGTTGGGGTAAAAGAAGGGTTAAATATGAAAGTACCAGTGCATTTGTTGCATCCAGTGAATGCAGTGAAACTGTTTTCCATCTTTTCTTTGCCCTGCATTTTCACATGACTAACCCGAGGGAGGAACTGAAGCAGGCTTTGGTTGGAGATAAAGTTTCTATCTGGCACATCTATCCTAAACATTCAAGACAACATGCTGTTTGGCGCCACCACAAAAAGGGAGTAGTAAGGCGTTTGTAATGTTGATCTGCTGGGCAAACTGATACATACCATTCATTCAAAGCACACATTTCTTGGTGGAACAAATCTCTGGATTGGGACCAAAAGGTGCAGAATATCAAGGACACCAATAAATCCCTCCAAGTTGCTCAAAATGTATGGTCAGCATTATTTGCCTAAATGTGTAGCTACTGGGTAGCCTGCTCTAAATATATTACTTTGTTTGCTGTAAATCAGCAGCAGAAGAATCCACCATTTCTTTCTGATTTGGACAACCATTGACCTTTGAAGCTGCTCTCCCAAAGGAGGAAGGGTCCAGAACGCAGAACTGGGTGAGACCAGGACAAAAATGAAATGTTAATTGAATGGATTCACTTTAATTATAAGCATAAGCGCACCAGCCTGCCTACCGTCCCTGTCCTATTGTCCCCATTTATTTCTATTCATTTCCTTCGTTCATGTCCATGTTCATATTTATACCTGCTATCTTGTACATGTTTGACAAACTGATAAATAAATAAATAAATAAATAAATTCAAGTTAATAAGCTTGCTTTCTGCATATTTATAAAATATCCATTTTATAAATGGGATGTCTTTTCCCACATATTTGATTGCCCTTGCTCAGTTCTGTTAAGCCCACGCTTAGCATGCGCACGGCCCCATTGCAAACTGGTAGTAAAGATAAGTAGAACCCACCCCCGGTGCTTAGCCATGGCTTTAGCTGTGTGTGAATTGAATAAACCACAGTTGGCTCACCTGAGTCCAACCACATTGCAGTTTAACATGATGGGTGAATCCAGCCCCTGATTTTTCAGCTGAATCATCATCGCCATAAACTGCAAAACCAAATCACTGGCGAGCAACAATTTTTACCTTCCCTTCCTGACTGTATCTGATTGGCCTGGTTCAGCAGGTCCCTTTTAAGTTAAGTTAACTGAACTGATAGCAATATGATAGGAGTGAAAAATCACACACGATTACTGCATCGAATCAAATAACCTAAGAGACATCCCTTCCCCACCTCCTCCAAGGAAGACATGACATGATTTTTGTTAGAAATTCTGTTTATATAGCCCTACAGAATGAAATAACATGTCCAGTCACCGTAGTCCTTGGTCCTTAACGGTTTTAACTGTAACAGGAAACGTTCCTTAGAACAAAAAAGGACATAGAGTATAACCATAGAGGCAAACGTTTAAACACTGCCATCTACTGGTTGGCTGTAGTTATTGCAATACAAAATACATTCCAACATGTATTCCAACAGATTTAGGTAGACAAAATAAACCAGATGATCCCGGAATAGCTTGACTCTTCAGTTTATATATTCACTGCTTTTCCCGT